GGAGCTGTCCAGTATGCAACAATGAATGCCTGTTGGCACGTCACTGTGACTCATTCCCGGTGTCCTGGAGTGAAGGAGCTGCTGCATTCACAGCCTGCAGTAGTGAAGACGAGGGAATAAGGCTCTGAAGAAGACTGGGGTATTCCATAACACACGAGCATAGATGAGTGCGCTCAAATATGTGCACATGAAACTGACTTACCTTGCAGAGCAGTAAATTGGACCGTCAAAGCAAATTTGGGAAGTTTAAGCCTCTGTGGAGCAGAATGTTCACTAAACAAGGTAAACTACTATATTTAAGATTCTTTGTTGCACATGAATCCCTTGTCAGTCATACACGAATTATAACCGTTAACACTCAGTTGGGTGGTTAATAGGCTGCACAGAGACGGAGTCGCTTGATTAATATTTTTCGACTGCGCTTCTCTCACCAAAACAATCCGCTGCTTGTCTGTGGCTTCTTGTCAACACATGTCTTTGGTAGAAGAAAACAATCTACGAATGTTTAAATACACAGATAACCAGCGCGCTCAGTGCTTTAACTCTCACGCCCTAATTCAGTGGCTTGAAAACTTGAGCTGGATGGTTAATGACTTCATGGAGGTGCAGACGTGCAGATGTGTGGTTGGTCCTTTTTCATTAACATAACTTTTTATTTAGGTTTCAGGAAAGCCACACCAAGTCCCAACAACTTTGCTGCAATCACAGTCACAGTTGCTGCAATTACAGGCCTTTAGGCAGAAACTCGTACCCAAAACGGGCACAAAGAGTCCAAGTTGGACCTGGGTTGGGTTGATGCTCACAGCATACATGGCTTTCTGATGTATGTTATTGCACTGAAATGAGTGAAAGATGTTTTGCTGGCACTTTGACAAAAGTGTGGTTCTTTGTCTTTTGAATCATTTATATTGTGGCAGCTGTGTTTTAGTATAATGATGAATGGGAGCGGCGCGGAATTGCACAGTGTTGACTTGACAAACATCCAGCAGCACATCTGGGCTATTATTGATGTAGCAGGGGATTAACAGCAGGGGGCAATGTTGAATTTGAGCTGATGCCTTGCAAAGGAATCCTATTCTATAAAACCATACTCTATGAAATCATTGTCTTCTCTAGTTTTAAATGTATGTAATCTGAGCATTTGACTAACTCCTTAAAGCTTGAACAATGTTTTTATTATCTTAATACACTTTGCTTGTACATTGGGAAAACCTCTGGATCTGCGCTCTTGTTTGCCTGCGGTGTACATGTACACAGACCGTAGTCTGGCAGAGAAGCATTACAAGGAAACCTTAGAACTAAAGTACTTGCACAGTAATGGCGATAATACCTGACTCCAGCAAGAATATCCATGTGAAATCCATGAGGAGTAACCGGGTCCATAAAAGTTTTCTAATAACATTCGTGAGCTTGGGGAAGCATTTTTTTTATCAGTTCATTAGATCCATTTGAGCTTCTGCCGAGCCGCGTGGTGGGGCTGCCTGTGGGACGGATAAAATAAACGTGTCCTCTCCAGAAAGCAAGGCGGTTTGATATGTATATAGCACCTTTCAAGAATGAGGAAACTCAAAGTACTGTAGGTATAACTTAAACGGCATTACAGAGAAATGAAAGGTCAGTAACGGTGCATATGTGTGGTTTAAATAATTAAAATAATATTACATATAAGCTAATATAATAGGATCAGACAGCATGGATAGAAAGAATGCAGCTGGAGTCAAAGATATCGATAAATCACCTGTATTATAACCGACACCAGTGTAACTGACCCGTAAGAGCCTTTAAAAATATATATTTAAGGGTCAGTTATATTGGGGGTCAAAGGTGAGGATTTTCCTATGAAAGAGTGTGAAGTAAATTGTCAGTTCCCGTGCATTCACGGTTGGTTTGTTTGTCGGACAAGATGTTTGTCGTGACCCGTCCTGCTGCATGTGCGGGTCAGCCGCAGAGAAACCCTCGTCTGAATGAAACCTTTAACCAATCCTCGTCTTTACAGCACCTGGTAAATGAAAGCAGCTGTGAGGACAGCAGGGAATGCATCCAGGAATGAACACTAGCAGCGCACATTATTACACCAGCAGGCTTTCAGATCAGGACCCTAAAAGGAAACAGGTTAAGCTTTCCTGCCCGCCCCGCCCCTCGCTTATCCCCCGATGAATACTGCGATTTTACGGCCCATGACCCTTGCCGAGACAATATCGGGGGTCTGGTAGTTTTTGTTGGCCCCCGTCGTCCTGGGAGCAGTGGCTTTCGTCCTTATCGCAGTCACACAATACAGCAAAGGAATGTAAACCCCTCTGTTGTTACAGCTCAACTTGCAGAAAATCTGGAGATTTAGTTTTCAAATCAGTTATTTTTATTCTTTATTCGTTACCTGATTGCTTCGGAACACTTTAAGCTTTGTATTTCACTCACAAGATGACATAATATTACGCAGCAAAAAGTATTTGTTATCCAATGGTAACAATGCAATAATAGAATCTTCCAGGTTATCCATTATGACATTTTTTAGTTAAGGTGTTAAGCAGATTGTAACTTTTTTTGATCAATTTAGTAAGCATGCCTAAACAACCGCCCCACCCGGTGAACTGTGCCATTTTCTGTGTGAATCTGCATCTCTACTTTTCCTCCATGTTAATGTTTTGTGTCAAATGTTTTTATTTTGGTTCAAAATGATGTGAGGAGTTTTTGGTACCAACGGAAACCCTAACGCGCAACCACTAACTATACCTTCCACATTTACGATTTTAACATATTCACCAAAATGCTTTAAGTGCTTGTGATGGCCGTTTATCACTATATTTTGACGTTTTATTGACTTAATAGTTTAGCACCTCCAAAGCTCACCCAACTCTTTGGAGCCTTCATGCCAGGCTAACCGTGTTGTTTTAACTGCAATCTGTACAATGTTTTAGCAAGGAATCCTAACTTTTGTTGCCAAAAGGACTCCTGTGCCGCACATATTAAGAGACGGTCGCGTGCGGTTCTCCCCTCTTGGGTTTGACCCTGAGTGTTGGCCTTTTGACCCTGACCTGGTGCATAACTTGGGGCAACGGACACACTACAATGGTTCAGGCTTCTGATCTCTTTTTTTGAAGACTGTGTGCGCGGAGCCCCCGCGGGCTCAGTTCACGGAGCAAGAACCTCGGTGATCTGATGTTCGGGGGAAGCGTGTTGATCTTAAGACGTGCTTGTTTTTTCTGGAGGAGGGAACTGCTCTTATCGTGTTCCTATTTAGATGTGTCTGATCACCCTGCTGTAGGTTCAGCTCGGCTGGCCGATGGATGGATGGATGAGTGAGGGTGACACAAATTGAAATGCCCCCTGGGGTCAGGTGTAGCCTCTCGTATGACCCCCGAGACGCACTCGTCTCCTCAGAGGTCATTGAGTTTAACATTCAGAGGACATATAATCATGTCTGGGAAAGTTTGTTTTGAAAATGGCTTGTATTTAGCGTTTACTTCTCTGTGCAGCAAACACAATGCTCTGGTGTTTCTTTGGTATTTATTGATATCCGATATGGTACTTATTGTAAAGACAGGAATACAACGGAAGCATTTTTAAAGCAGGAAACTAAAGTTCATTTTTTATTTAAAAAAAAAAAGTTACTTTTGAAAAAGACTAAACTCCAGGCCTTAATCAAAACGTGCTACTTTGTTGATCCGCTGTAGTTTCCAGTGCTGTTTAGTATTCTTACCTGTAGCGGTTCAACATTCCTCTCTGCTTATTGAGCAGAAATGCATGAGCACAACAATTCCCCTGCGCCTCAGGGAGGAACACAAACGCTCTCGTAATGCACATCTCTGCACAGGATCGCCTTCGCTAATCTTCAGGTCAGCATCACTTGTCTGCTCTAGTCTGCTTCTGCTGCATCATTTTTCTTCAAAGCTGCTGTTATTGTTGTACTTATTTATGAAGTTGAATGAATGGTACTAAAAGTCTTTCTCACCCAAACTCATTAAATCAAGATCTTGTGGTGTACCCGGAGGAGTACAGGAGTAGTACATTTATCAGGAGTTTTATTTATTAGTATAATCAAATGCATTCTTTAGTTTTTAAGGTAAAATGACATATTGCATGTAATTTGGTTTTTAGTAGAGTTGAAACATTTGGCAATGAAAAGAACTTCCACATTCCGGATGATGCAAACCGAGAGGGAAATCATTTAAAATGCTGTTTTAACGCCGGTATTGCAATGCACCAAAATTACCTTTTTTTTTTTCTTTGCATTCGGACCCTTTCTCCACAAAGTAACTCGTCTTTTATGGACATGGAGTAAGCTCCCTCCTAATTTTCAGTTTTCAATCCAAGATTCCTTCTGGACGGCAAATCAAACCCTCCAATGTCATCAAGTGTAAAACTACGCTGTGACCTTTATCCCCGCCATGTGAGCAGAATTTAACATTCAAACCACCAGAGGAACTCCTCTCACTTTCAAGTATCTTCGCATTGTGCACAGGCTCTGCAGCTCAAATGATGGAATGTGGTGAAATGTCAGTACCTGCATCTGAAATGAGTCACTGTGTAGTTTGGGAACTGGAGGAAAACCGCTTCGGCTGGATATTTAGCTGATGGAAATATGTTCCAGTGTTTTTGACCTTGTGCATGATCGATGAATGCCATTTGTTATTGTTCATGTTGGAGGAAGTTAGAGGTGACAAGGGCAATATGTAAATACTACCTTTTTTTTCTTTTTCTTTTTTCCTTAATTACAAGTCTTGATTCTGTTTTTGGATGTAGTTTCCTTTTTTGTGGAAGTTTGTACTAAGTAGACAAACCGTAAAGGATGGAAAGGGAGAAAAACCTTCCCCACAGTCATTCTTATGCTTTGCCAGACACTTTCCACATGTTCAAAGCAAAAACACTAATTTCATTAAACATGTTTGACTGTTTTACTGTAGTTATTTGTTCCAATCAGAAATGCTTTCTGCTTGTGACCATTTCTGCATTTGTTTTTTTTTCATAAAATGCCAAATTTTATTTTTGTTTTTCCCGCTCAGATGTCAATGAATGTGAGGAGACCAATGGAGCGTGTGAGGCTCTGTGCTGTAACACCATCGGAAGTTACTACTGCAGGTGCCCTGCAGGACAAAAACTCAATGAAGATGGCAAGAGCTGTCAAGGTGAGCCCTCTACTTTGTTTGTCTGGTTGTAAACCGTTATCACACTTTACAGCTGATCAATGTTATGTATGTTTTTCTGCTCAATGATCGAGTCCTCGTTACTACGCTGAAAACAAGCAGACGTTACATTTGGTTTTGTCAGCATTGCTCATCCGAAATAACCTCACCAGCTTTGTGTTTTTACTCTTCCCAACCGTCACTATACTGTTAAATCCTTTTGACTTTTTGTGCAAGCAGTGTGGCTCTACATATTGCACTGCCATTGACTTTAGTCCAGGACCGACATACTGTAACAGTTAGTGGTTAAAACTTGGTTCAGACATTCTTGCTTCGAGGAGTGTGTAGCGTCACGACATCCATTGGATGGATTCAGACATTTATGTTCTCCTCGCGTTCAGAACTTTGCTGATCCTTCAACTTTCCATCTTGCGCCACCATAAATATTTAAATGTGTTGAATACTTTAGTTTATGACTGCAAAACTGGTAGTACTCCCGTAAGCTTAGCTGAACTTTGTTTCTGAGCTGTAGAATCATATTCTTAGTCAAACAGTATACATTATCTTGAACAACCTTTTGATTTAAAAAAACCCCCACTTGTATTCACCCAGCAAATAAAGAGGATCAGTTTCTTTACTTCAGTCAGTTTTTTTGTCATTCTGTATTCCTTTACACGTATTTATGGAGTTCGCGTTTCCATGTTTATGTGTGGCTCAGTGAATGCACATTCTGAAAGCATTTAACATCAAAACCATGTCATTTTAACCCAAATGAACCACAGGACCAGATCTTGTTTACTTTTGTACATTGTAGAGGATAAACGAATGTCTCCTCCTAATGTTGTATGGCTGAAAATGATTGCAGAGAATCTTTGAACCATACTTCACGAAAACTAAGCTTCTTCCCCAAAATGTTCCCACTGCCGTAGCTTGATGTGGTAATCTCAGAATCCGAATAGTAATTCTTCCAAGCCCAGAGGAGAGGCGTTGGAGTGTCTGCTGGAGTAACCAGTGAAAGATCTGATCCAGGTCACGGTTATTAGGAGCGGTGATGGGAGCGTTGTCACAGCTGGCTTTCATAGCTCTCTGCCCTCCGCTTCTAGTGTATTTTAGAAGAAATGAGCTACCCGCAACATTAATGTCCTAATTGTCTGTAATTGGCAGGAGTATTAGCAGAGGTAAATGACGCTGGATGAATGCAGTAGGTGTTTAAGTAAGCGCTGCATGTGTGGCACTGGGTCTGCAGAAAGCGATCAGGTTTCCTTCTGCAGGATCGCCTGAAGCTGCGAGCGCTGCAGAGTCCAAGTCTGCATGAGTCCAAATGAGAGACAAGATCCATTCATTTAGCTCCTCAAAGTAAATGCTTGGGGAGAGTCGCATCCTACCAAACCGCACTGGCACTGTGGGGGAATCCTTTCCCTGCCAAGACGCTATAATATTTTTGATAAAAGACATCTGCTGTGGGATTTTAATATGTTAATGCAGCCGGCAAAGACAGAAACTAACCAATGCGACCAATGCAACGTTTTTCTAGTTTTTAACTCCTGCTTATTTTCCATTTTATTTTGGAGTTTAAAAAATGTTGCATTAGTATTGATACAAACTGCTGTCCCGTTGTGTGCAGGGCAGCAGTGTTAACACTTTAGCCATTGTGTCTAATTTACTTTGCTCAAAAAAATAAGAGCGTGAACTTGGAAAGTTATGGTTTGCCTATGCTCTGCAATAAGGGTGTGTGAGTTGCTTCTTTTTAAAATCAGCAGGTATTAAACTCGGAGATCAGAATTTATTGATCTGTTCCTCGGGTCTTTTTAGGGTATTTCTTTCATTGCAATTAATTTATCGTAGCAAACTGCATTCCTTCCCCCCCACTGCCTGGTATCATTGTCCACATGATTCTGAAGTGTGCACAAAGTGGCATTTTATGTGTGTTGATGCGTCCAGACGAGTTGTGACTGTTGGCGTGTGGTGTGACAAAGACAATCTGTTTCTGTCTAAGCTAGAGTTCTTCTGAGATTCTTGTGGCGTGAGGCAATGACTGCACAGGTGTATGTTACAGAAACTTTATGTTTGCATTTCTAAGAAGACCGGTCATAAGAAAGGAAGCTTGCAGTCATTTTATCCCGCAGAGGTCTCTTAAGGTCCATTTCTGTTCAAATCAGCGAGGTGATGCTGACCATAAACATGCTTGGCCCTTTATGAGGTCTATAAAGTTCCGTCATGGTCCTGCTTCTGTGTTTGTGTGTGTGTTGGCACCAGATGAGAGTGCATAGCGCTTAGCTCCTGAACAGTGAATTTCACAGCAAGGCTCGTTCCTTTCTCAGCTGTTTGGCTTATAAATACTGGATTTGACGTCTGGCACTAATCTCATTGGCTTTTAGTGAGATTTTTTCTTTATGTATAAAAAGAACAATATACAGAGGATATCCTTAAGTCTCTTCTTATTCTTCAATAAAATTATGTGCACTCCTACATCTTTGTTACATTTCATTTGAAAAATACATCGGCCCATAATACAAATGTAGTACGTCAATAAGAAAAAGAAAAAGGTTGTTTAGTAAAATGCAGAATTATGAATTTGTATTTATGCAAGAATGGATCTGTGTTTATTGTAATAGTTTAGACTGGGGGGTGAGAGGGAAGTCTTGAGGGAAGGGGAGAAAGAGGAGGAACGTTTAATTTAGTTTTAGTATATGGGAGGGTAAAAGTGAGAGGGGGTGGAGGAAGGACGAGAAAAAACAGGAGTGAATCGAAAGTAGTTGCAATGTTACAACAAACCAGGATTTAGCACTTGTGGATCCAGTCATTCATTCCACTATTTGTAGCTATTGTACTTTAATTAGGTTTTATTTTTTTACAGTGAGGCTTTCAGTTTCACTTTCCACGATGGCTTTGTCATCAGGATGTGGTATTTACGTTTGGGTTTTAGTTGAAGTGATGGCATGTCTGACATCTGCTGCAAACTATCCGCAGAATTACTATAGAAGGATTTGTTATAGACCGTACTGTCACCATGGATACCATGGCTACGGCCGTGGCTACGCTGCTTCAAGTAAGTGATCATTTCACAGTCAACTGCAGATGGAACGTTTGACAGCGGCGTTTAATGCTTCCACTCTGGGTCCTTTCTCGAGAGGAATAGGATGTAAAATGAAATAACGTAACTGTTAATCATTGAAATGAGCAATGGCATTTGATGATTCATTTTACTCTTTTAAAAAATGTAAAAAGTTAATTTCACAAAGGATCATAGATTTTTGATTATTGATCACACATCATTTTTATACATAAAAGGATTAGATTCATAAGAAAGGCCTTATTTACTGTAGTCAGAGCATGTTTGTTCATAGTTTAGCCTTGACAGCCCCACTGATGATTAACCGCCCAGATTACTTTGTCTGATCAGACTAGGGGATGATTGCTTTACCAACAAAGATTAGCACATGAGAACATGGATTATGAATCGTGAGAGACGCTTACACAAACAGCGCTAGAAACCAATTACACTCCCGACAGATTATGTCAATGTTATTTTGACGAAATATTTATTTTCATGTTTGGCAGGCCTACAGCACTCTGGGATATATGCACAAGATGAAACATGTTCAACATTTATTATTACCATATTGATGATAATCCCTCTGATCTGCTGTCCTACTTAGATGTCAGTCTTGGACTTAAATCAAGGCTGCTCAAAAAGAATTCTTTGGCAAACAAATTTAAAAAAAAAAGAAATCACCTTTCGGATATGGACTAAAATAGTTCTGCATGAAGCAGGCACCGTGCTGAAGGTGGCTGCGGGCGGATAATTGCTGTTCCTTCAGTAAAAGCCAATGTCTGCGGAGGCTTTGGCTCTCAGTTTGAGGTGGATCAAGTTCTGGAAGTGGAAACCCGGCCGGAGGGTCTTCACTCACCATGCGCTGCAGTCAACAGGAAAACGGCAGCTCCACTGAGCTGGACCCATTTCATGAAAAACCAAACCAAAGGATGGCATGCAGCGGTGATGGAAAAAACCCCGAAAAGGACTCCTTCTGCCAGCTTTCCTGGACAAGAGGAGCTTGGCAGCAGAGAGATGAAGAAGAGGAACATTTAGAAGCTCATTTCCGCCCTTCGGGTCTTCTAAAGACCTGATTTATGGGCCGTATCTGCTGATTGTTTTCACATATAAAAGTTTTTGTTTGCTATATCTTAAACTTAAAAGGCCATTTAACTAAAATGATTTAGGAAAGAAATTACAGCAGCAACCTGCACGTATCCATTTGTTGTCTATGGACACCTGTTTATTCTGAGTAGGGTTTCTGTCCCGGCTCACATCGGGTCGGAGGCAGCGCTCACCATACCTGTCCATCACAAGGCTGACGCCTGTAGAAAGACAATATTTTACACTTGTATTCATATCTGTTGGCAATGTATACTTGCTCCTCCTAACTGGCTTGTCTTTGGACCTTGGGTGGGGGGGGGGAAACCATCTCTGAGAGGCAAGATGTGAAGGCGACTGAATACATGTATTTATTTGCAAATGATTCCTCCCACAGAGGGTACAAGAATGTGGATTTGTTTTTTAAGGGATTGGCAATTTAATGAATGTTGATAAATTATTTGTTTTCATACTGACCTGTTGCAAGAATGCCTAAAGACAAATATATTCTCTGTAGGGGGACAAATATAAAGGAAAAAGACAATTAATAATAATAATAATCCTTCTGGAAATAGTTTCTAGCTGAAATTAGTTGTCTGGAGTGGAGCACATTGAACATTTAACTCTGCAATGACTAATAGTCTTTTATGACGTGTTGGCCGTTTTTAAACAAAGCAGCCAAAGTACATTCACGCTCACCTTTTTTAATATGTTCTATCACATTTTCATCAGCCAGCAACATTTCCGGTAACTTGTCAGTGGGCAGGAGGGGAGGCGGGTTAGACCTCATGTCTTAATTCTCCCGATAACTGTGGCAGCAGAGAGGGTTGTTAGAAGAAGTCCAAAGATATTAGTACTTCATAAATCAGCTCCTCTCACAGGGGGTCTGCTGTGGAACTCTGAAAACAATGTATTAGTCTTTGACCCTTGAAATAGGAAATGTTGAACACGTCCAGTTTCATCTTAAATCTGGTCACATGGAAAAGCAGTAATGTTTCCCTTGCCGTCACTTTCCCAGACACACTTTTATTTGTTTATAATCTCAAGGCACGGCGAAGAGGAATGTGTATGTTTTGCATCCTCTGATTTAAGCTTCCATACGTTTGCTGCACCCAAGGGATTGACAAGAAGCAAAGGAATTTCAATTTAGGTCTAAATGTTCAGTAGTTGTTCCCACATGGGAGGATTTGTTTGTTTGAGCTGCATTGCACTAGCATAATACTTTCCCATTCATCATCTCCTTCCCTCTCAGAGAACATCCTTCCCTAAAAACCTGCGTTTAATTCCTCCTCGAGCTTGGCAGCTCATCTGGTCATTATTCTTAGGACCATTTTTTTCTCTCATAAGGATTTAGTCAAATTGCACTAATTCATCTCCATTCTCTCTGTGTCTTTTTTCCCCCCGCACCTTCTGTAAAGATATTGATGAGTGCCAGGTACATAATGGAGGCTGCCAGCACAGATGTGTGAACACCAGGGGCTCGTATTACTGTGAATGCCACCCAGGCTCTCGCTTGCACGTGGACGGCCGCACCTGCCTGGGTAAGAAACGCTCACTGTGCTCACATTGCGCCAGCTGATGTCCTCCACATTTGTTGGCACACCACGATGAAATGTTCCAATCGCAGCTTGATTTGAGGTTTCATCCATCTTTTAATCAGAGTATTATGGCCTGAAAGTTTCCCCTTTGTTGGTCCCATTTGTTTTAAAACTCACATGAACAATGAATCCCTGTCTCAGAGGAGCAAGTCTTTACTTGGTGTTATTTTATTTGTTATATCATTAAGGTTTAGCCACATATGCTTTTTTTAGATGGGCAATTAATCATGTAAACCACATTCTTCATGTTGCGGAAGATGAGCCCTTTGATTCCGACAAAAGCTCCATTGGGAGATGATTCAAATAAGTTTTGCTGGTAAAACCACACTGAGTCAGTCAGTGCGGTTTGCACGGTTGATAGAATGTGACAAAATTTGGGGGATCCGTTAAAACTCCCCCCAAACTTTAGGGAGCGCCTCCGAGGAGAGATCCCTGTCAGATGAGTTACAAAGGAGGAAGCAGAATAAATGCATTTCCATACACAACACATTCACCACTTACACATTGCATAGGTTCACATAATTAAACAAAGCACCAGAGAGAATAGAGAAAAGAATAGAGAGAATAGAGAAAACTGTTGATTGATCGGCATAGTTGGCTGTGGTTTCCGTTCCTTCTGCTTGAGTGTTATTCCAACACTCTCATAAGCTTCACATAAATCTCCTTGTTATCCCGTCACTCTTGACCTGCGCGGAGTTCACGCAGTACCTGTTTGTTGTTTTTGACATGCCAGATACATCAGAAATGGACTTCTTTTTAGAAATAGCTGATGGAGAAAAAGAGTGTAAACCTGGCACCACTTTCTGCAGTCAGGAATGTATACAAGTGTCCCAACATTTAGAGTGGAACTCATTATGTGTTTCTTGGCTTCGTAATGCAAAGTCTCTTCGTTGTCTCATAGAGGAGACACCGTTGCTGGGACCTAACTGTCCCTGCGAGGCCCTTTTGCGACAGCTGTTGCATGAAGAAATGACTGATTGCACCAATAATCATGGTGCACATCTGGACAGACTCCCAGGTGAAATATCTCTTTGCAAACAGTGCAGAAGGCAGGCTGCTTAATGTGTGCATGTTTAAAATCAGCTCTGAAATCTTACTTTTATTCACTTTGTATAAGAACAGTGATTTGCTTGCACCGTGCACAACAGGACCACTCGCACACTGGACAAATGAGACGAATGACAGCACATACCCGTCGGGAGCATAGAGTCATAGGTGGACAAAGAAGAGCAGATGTCCTGAAATCAATTAAATTCAATCTAACGTCTGCCTGTCTTATCCAGCTCTTGATTTGCCAGCCCGGCTCGGAGGGATCCCAGACACTTAGCGTGTGGCGGAATAATATTTGAGCTGGAAAGCTCCTTGCCGGTTGACGTGTGCTTGTGACGGATGGATCTTGACTCCTGCCTTTTCGAGTATGAAAAACACCGGCTTTGAGAGCGGCCGGCTGTTCGACCCCCTCCAGGGGTCGAGTCCAGGTTTGTCTGCTGCTGCGAAAACAGAGACGCAGACGGAGGGAAGATGATTGAGCCGGCTCTGCCCTCAATCTCATCAGTGGACAGAGGTCACGTCTCTGTGATTTTTGGCTCTCTGTGGGGATAGATCTTTTGTGGCTTAGCGCAAAGCAATTCTCTGAGGTGCTCGCTGATTGTAAGAATGTCAGTACAGTGGTCACGACCTCTGAGAAACACTCCTGTGGATGTGCCACTGCAGTCAAAAAGAAAGTCAGAAAAAGTTGTTCCTTCTGGCCTTTTGTCACATTTCTAAAGTTTCTTTATTTTTTTGCTCAGCTGTTCATTCGTGTGCCGTCAGCAATGGAGGATGTGAACACTACTGCATGCAGCAGTCTGCCGCTCATTTCCGCTGTCGCTGTAAAGCAAACTATGTGCTGGCTGAGGACGGCAAGCATTGTAAATGTGAGTATAACTGGTGTCAGCCAACACTTGACACACATTAACGCGTAGCACACAACGAAAAAGATGAGTAACATGTTGACTGGGTAAAGAAGCACTTTGGCAGGCTACGTGGGTGTGATGTTGAAGACTTAATCATAACAACAAATGGTTTCTGGTATCTCCTGCCATTTTTTAAATGATCTAACAGGTAGTCTGTGCTTGGGCAAGATCGGCTGTCATTTATGGAATGAGATATGTGTGTGAATCAGTCTGCCTCATTGTTTTTGTTTTCATGAAATTAGTATATTGATGTTTTTGCAGATTTTATACGCTTTTAAACGCTGATTTGATCTCTAAGCCCATGTAGTTGAGTACAGCTCTCTGGGGGTTGTAAATTCTAGACTTATTCATTTTAAAGTACTGTCTCAGATGGTTTTACTTTGTAATTGTTTGCTTAGAGCCTTCCTTTAATTTTTGCAGAGCTGAAGGTTCTCAATCCAGATGCTGGACAGGCTTACACATGTCAAACAACCATAACTATGCAGACAGGACAACAAAGAGATGAGGTTGAGGTGTGAAGTAGCAGTGTGCATTTAAAGCACTAGAAATAAACCCCACTCGACCGACACCATTTTTATTTGTATCTATGAATGTTTTTGTTGTTGCAGTGCAGAATCCTTGTGCAGATCAAAACGGAGGCTGTGTGCACGAGTGTCGGGCCGATGGTGGCAAAGCTCACTGTGACTGTAAAGCTGGTTACATCTTGGCAGAAGACGGGAAAACCTGCCAAGGTAAATTCACCATTCACAAAAATTGATGACATTTAAAATGGTTATTTATACAACTGGGAGTCAATCAAGGGAAGAAAATAAACAATATTGCCGCATTTAGTAGCTGCTCTGGAGCTTTTGATCTTCACACGCTCGTTTTTTCTCAGCCGAGGAAGTTCACCAAGTCGGCGTTCAGTTCAAAGTTGATCAATTTCTCATCCACGTTAACTCAAAAGTTTGAAGATTGGAAGCAGCAGAACATGCTTCACACGCTCTTCACACGCTCGTTTTTTCTCAGCCGAGGAAGTTCACCAAGTCGGCGTTCAGTTCAAAGTTGATCAATTTCTCATCCACGTTAACTCAAAAGTTTGAAGATTGGAAGCAGCAGAGAAATTTTAAAAAAGTAGAGTTGGCCCAGTTTACATGGAAATGTCTGTCTGCTGTAGAAGTTTCTGGCACAACTTCAACTTTCAAAGCACATGGAGGAAGGAAAAAGTCTGCAGAGGTTAAAACTCCAACTTCACATCGATTAATGCTGAAACATGCTGGTCCCACGCTACAGTTTTAAACTCAGTTTGCTTACAAAGACTGTTTTGATACGTTTGAAAACTGCACAAAAGATCCCTTTCATTAAGATTCAAGTCTGGTACTGCTATTTTTCCAAAGATGGCAACTTTGTCAATGTTTCCACTGTTGGTATCCGCAAACACCGAGTTCCAAGTTTGCCAAAGATGGTTTTGAAGTGCAAACGTGGATTTTATTACATTTTAACCTGTGCAAAATCGTAATCCTCAAATTTATTCAGTTCTCAACATCCATTTGTCACAGATGTCGACGAGTGTGAAAAAGAGGCCGACTGTGCTCACGGCTGCCGCAACACGCTGGGCTCCTACGCCTGCGTGTGCAACGCTGCCTATGAGCTGGGATCTGATGGAAAACATTGTTACAGTAGGACTCAGCTCATGTGTGATAACTAAATATAAGGTTTGAGTTCATGTCACAGTATTGATACTCACTTTGGCCTCGTTAAAGGAATCGAGATGGAGATCGTGAACAGCTGCGAGAACAACAATGGAGGCTGTTCCCACCACTGCCAACACTCAACCAGTGGGCCTGTTTGCTCCTGTAACCACGGTTACAGGCTAGACGACGACCTCAAAACATGTGCTGGTACGAAGCTGTACTTGCACTGACTCAACAAAAATGCAACAAATTATAAGGCATTACTTCGGTAAAATACATCGACACTCGTTCCCGGCAGAGGGAAGTTCAGTTAGCGCAGATGATGATGATGATGATGATGGTACAATCGGATAACAAAAATAAATAAAACTGGGATCTGCTCAGGCCCTGAGATTGAAGACAATTATTTGATCGATCATTTAATAAATCATCTTTTCGGATATGTAGGACTTTATTACTCTTTATGCTCTGTTGGTCCGAGGGTGGAAGACTGTATTGAGCCTTCAGCGCTAAACCTGTACACGGTTTACATGATTTTGTATGTTTTCTGCCGGTGAGCAGGTAAGCGTATCGTTACAGGCAGTTCATCCTTTTTAGTGTCCCTGCTTGTCGTGTTTGGCAGACGTCGACGAGTGCGGCGAGCAGAGCTCCTGCTGTGAGCAGGACTGCACCAACTACCCCGGGGGTTACGAATGTTACTGCTCGGCAGGATACAGACTCGACAATGACGGATGTAGCTGTGATGGTACGTTTGACCCTTTTCAGGCAGAATTTGTGTGCTGCTCACTTTTTTATGAGACTGAATTTGGGAGAGTTCCAGACTCGAAGAAACGCGCATAATGCCGTCTTTGTTTAAGTTCAACATGTAAAGGGAGTCTTGCTCATGTGAAAATTGCTTTGGCTTCCCTCAACGTCTCTCCTTAAAGTTGCAGAATTGTAATTCGTCTGTGTTGTCTGTGTCGTTTAGATGTAGACGAGTGTCTGGCATCTAATGGCGGTTGTGATCACACGTGCCAGAACAGCGCGGGTTCCTTTCAGTGTTTCTGCCGCCGGGGTTTCCGTCTCGACGAGGACCGGCAATCCTGTATCCGTAAGTATCCACATTTAAATAGAGCGGCCAAGTGTGAATCACAGCAGAAACGTGCCAACGGAAAGTCTGCCAAACTGGTGTTGCCGCACTGCAAAAAAACATCCTGTACACAAAGTTGTTCACTTGGGGTGAATATGCCAGCAATAAGACATAATGCATATGCTCTTTTCTTAATTTGTTTTATTGTGGTTCCTGGTTTTCAGTTCAGATAAACTAAAGGCAAATTACATTTCTGTGATTTACAAATAACAGAGACGAGGCATAAATAAATGAATGGCCGAGGATTTAAAAACAAACAAAAATATGTCTTTCACCATGGAAGGTTAACTTATGTGGTGTCCAAACTAGGGACACAAGTCCTTCTGTCTTCTCCTGTGCTACTGTCTATGGTATTTAAAAGGCACGGGACATTTTTAATGATGATACATGTGCATTTATCGGCATCTCACCTCTGGTCCTCTGTTGTATCTGATCAAATAAATATGCTAAGCTTATAGTGGAAAATAACCAGAGTTTTTCAAACAAAATGAATAATCAATTTATATTGGTGCCTTAGCGAAAACATCAAAAGAACAACAATTCCATGGATGCATTGTTGGGTAATCTGGTATTTGGAGAAATCTTGAATGAATATAAAGTGCAACTGACGAGCACAACAATTCCCTCAATGTAAAAAAGATTTTATCATTTTAACATCAACGCTTTTCCAAACTTAAATGACATGTCAAATGTGGAGGGAGAAGTTTACTTGCCCATCCAAATGTATTTAAGGGACTGTGTAACAATTGGCCAATTGGGTTATCTTTTGTTTTATTTAAAGGCAAAGGTAAATGGGTGGAGGAGAGGCAGCAGGGTAATATGACGCCTTCTCAGTGTGCAGTCAGGCTGGATCTCTATCAGACTTCCAGTTGTTGGACCCAGAAGAATAAGACGCAAATGCCTAAAATAATGTAAAGGGAGGTTGTGTAGTAATGTATTCATTTTTACAACATTGACTGCTAATGGAATGGGGAGATCGAGTGGGAACAGCAGGATATAGTATTGTTTACAGGCAATCACAGCGCCTCTTCTCATATTCCGTACACATGTGTGTAATAGAGTGTGTACCAAACGTTCTTCTCGCCTGTTTCCTTGCAGCATTAGAAGACGCGATTGAAGCCCTGTCCAGCGGAGCTGCCATCGAGTTGCCCCTCATTCAACCCCTGCTCACCTTGATGCAGGACTACAACCAACCGCTGGAGCGCTACGACGACTACGAGGACGACGACGGGGAGCTGAGGGCCGAGAGTAACCTGGCAGAGAAATTCGGTGAGTCCCCCCCCCCCCCTTCAAAACCATTAGCCCCTCGTTATCATTAAGAGCGACCTGTATCTGATTACCTGACTCGCAGGAGGTGAAGCTGTCTGACAGACTCATTTACTGCTAGCAGGAACAGACCACATGGTGGGGGTTAATTACTGTGTTTCATGCTCCCAGACTGTCTGTACATACTGTAATACCACAGATTTTTTGGCCGGGAATGCTGAGGATTATATGTCCTGGCAGCCCGTTACAGGAGGTACAAGGCTCTGTTATGTGTCGCCACAGCTTGGACTCGTTTGACACCGCAGAACATTTTATATATATGTATATTTTTCTGACCTGACCAATAATTTAACTGTGAAAAGTTATCCGTTTAAACACATTTGCGGAGTGGGACTTCAGCCTACATGGCGTAGCTAGACACAAAGGGCAGCAAATGACACGATTATATGATGGAAATCACATCGATCATTAACTGCACTGTAACGACTCAGGTGGGTGAAGTGTGCACTTCATTGATTACTTTGTTGTTTCCAGTGTGTTTGGATGATACCTTTGGCAGTGACTGCAGTTTGACATGTGACGACTGTTCCAATGGAGGAAAATGTAACTCGTGGAAAAATGGCTGCGACTGTCCTGCAGGATGGATGGGTGTCGTGTGCAACCAGAGTGAGGAGCATACGGACACTCAAATACACATCCATGGGTTTCACCCTTACTACTAAATCAGAATGACGGAGTGGCAGTAATGGACCCCTTTCATGTTTCCTTTTCACAGCATGCCCCGAGGGATATTTTGGTAAAAACTGCTCATTCCCCAGTAAGTGTAAGAACGGTGCCACGTGTGATCCGATCACTGGGAGCTGCCGGTGTCCCCCCGGGGTCAGCGGAGACGTGTGTCAGGATGGTGAGTTATCCGCTTTGTCCAAGCCAACATCTTTTTGTTTTTTGATTTACAGTGAAATCCTTCCCCCTCCCACTGTGGGCTCTAGTTTAAGTTTACTACGGGCTGCTTTCCTGTGTGCAGGATGTCCTAAGGGCTTCTATGGGAAGCAGTGCAATAAGAAGTGTAATTGTGCCAATAACGGGCGCTGCCACCGGACCTACGGAGCCTGTCTGTGTGATCCTGGACTCTACGGACGCTTCTGCCACCTGCGTAAATCCCACTGTCCCAACATTAACACACTCTCGCCCTTAAATTACAATGTTGGAAATTGATTGATAGATTCTGAATTAGACTTGCATTACACTCTCGAGTATCCATATGTAATTAAACCGTCATCAGTCATCTTCTCCTTGTTTATTGTCCCTCAGCTTGTCCAAAGTGGACCTTCGGTCCCGGCTGCTCTGACGAGTGTCAATGTGTCCAGCAAAACACTCTACAGTGTCACCGCCGCCACGGCACATGTGTTTGTAAATCGGGTTACCAGGGCAACACCTGTGAGGAAGGTGAGCACACTGTCACAAAGATCATCAATGACTCATCAGCACACCTTGCATATGTGTACTGCAGGGTGCTTTCTGTTCTTTGGTCCTATTACTGTTCAAAGACAACAACACAGACAAAAACAGCACAGACAACAATGGTGGATGTTGTTTGAAGAAAAGCATTGCAAAAAAAATTTGCTTTCTGATATAATCAGTAAAGGGGGTAAAATCTCCCTTCTAAATAAAGACAGAAAAATGTTTAAGATTGTTGAGCCCCTTATTTTAAGAACAGGAGGATCGTTTCCATTCTCGTGGTATACAAGTTGTCCCACCATGATGACCTGTCCTCTGAACACTTGTCCTGTCTCTAGAGTGCAAGCCGGGTACTTACGGAGCCGGTTGTGCGAAAAAGTGCTCTTGTCCACTCGGAGTGTCATGTAATCACGTCACTGGAGCGTGCCAACGAAAATGCCCTCCTGGTCGTCACGGAGAAAACTGTGATCAGGGTAGGTGGCCCGACAGAGGACTAGTTGTCCCCTGGCTATGTTTGTGTCCTCCCATGTTGACTCCTGTGTGTCCTGTGTCAGACTGTCCAGTGGGGAGGTTTGGAGCTGGCTGCGTCCATCCCTGCAACTGCACAGGCTCCCCATGTGACAAAGTGTCGGGACGATGCAAGTGTCCCGCGGGGACGGCAGGAAAGCGCTGTGAGAACTGTGAGTGCGGAAGGACGTTTGAGTATCCACAACAACCACACACTTGTTTTTATATGATGAAATTGGTAAAAGTAGGAATCCTCTTTCCACAGTGTGCCCCGATGGTTTTTGGGGTTCAGGGTGCACAGAAACCTGCCCTGCTTGTGAGAACGGCGGCGTGTGCGACAAACACAACGGGTCGTGTAACTGCCCTTCGGGGTTAATGGGCAGATTGTGCCAGAACTGTGAGTATCCGCAGCGTGCGTGTTGGTTTCCACAGCTCGATGCATTTAACGGTCCACCGGCTGAGCAGAATGGCAGCACAGTGAAAATGGAAATCGTTCAGTGGTGCTTGATCTTGGACATAAAATAGGAAAAAGGAACAGTTTTTCTCCCAGTGCGTTGGCTAAAATCCTCCAGATGTTGAAAACCACCTCCGATTATAATTCACTGGGAAGAACAAATAGAATTTCAAACAACCACTGGATCTGAAAGCCTCATTTAGTCGTGAATCCCAGAACAATGAGTCGTGGGAACTTGCTCTGCTTACATTCTACCGGCGAAGTTTGTTCTAGTAGAATTTATGCTTTGTATTTTCATTGTGCAGCGTGCCCGAGTGGACGTTTCGGCCAAGCGTGCCAAATGAAGTGTGTGTGTGAGAATAACGCTCGCTGTGATCCGGTGGCCGGGCGGTGCACATGCGCTCCTGGCTGGACTGGACACAACTGCAGGAAAGGTAGCGGCGCTAGACGGCATTTGTTAGCGCTTTTTGTCATGTGTGACACTCAAACGGGACTTTTGTGTTGCAGGCTGCGATGCAGGACATTGGGGGGAGGACTGTGCAGAAACATGTGACTGCAGGAACGGAGACGGCAGCTGCGACGGCGTGACGGGCCAGTGCAACTGTGAGGCTGGTTACACTGGAACACGCTGCCACCAGAGTATGTAGTTATATATTAATGTGTATATATTTCCTTTATTTATGTATTAAATCATGTTTTTGTTTGGAAGAAACCTACTTTAAAGTTCTTGCACACCAGAAAGTCTTATTGACGTGCATGTTTTGTGACAAAACCAAATCCCTGTCACTTTCAGTCTGAAAGGAGAATTTCAGGATTGAAATATCTTTTTTTTTATATGAGTGAATGGTGTTTTGGCTTTCTCAGATGGAAAATCTGTCGGGAGTATTCATTGCTGTGAGCATATTCATTCAGCGAAGTTTGTGTTGCAATCATTCTGCAAAGTTTCATTACCAGTGCTACCACCAGATGGTACAAAATAAATCATTTAACATCCTAAATAGATACAAATAGTTTGTCCAATACATATTTTATATTGTTGGATCCTGTCATTTTAAAACCAACCTTTTATAAAACATGACATACATATCACTCGTCTCACTGTCTAAGGTGTGTGTTTGATATTTCCTCAGAGTGCCCTGCAGGTATGTTCGGTCTGGGCTGTCGCCGTCGTTGTCAGTGTGACAACAATGCGTTGTGCGACCATGTGAGCGGCGCTTGCACCTGCCAGGTGGGATGGACTGGAACCTTCTGTGAAAAGCGTAAGAGCCTCTCCTTCCCTTCACAACGCCGAATATACCACATCTACTAGATATGCATGCCAGTAAGGGGTCGTCTGTGTCTTTCAGCTTGTCCTCCGGGTTTCTACGGACTGGACTGCCAGGAGAAATGTTCCTGTCTAAATGGCGGCAGCTGCGACCACGTCAGCGGACTTTGTTCCTGTCCTGCCGGCTGGATCGGCTCCTCCTGCGACCTGAGTGAGTTGACTCCACAACTCACTCACTCCAGTGTGCAGCATCAAAGCACTAAGGACATCTTTGTTACGGGATTTGCAGTTAAACAAAAACTCGCTGCAGGTCTCAGTTATTTGGGGAAACCCAGTTGAGCAGCACATGAGAAAGCGCCGACTCCGTGTTCCCCATGCTTTTCCCCGTATCGCTTACCAGACACTGGAATTTCCACTTTTGATCAGCAAAGTTCACCACGGGGTTGTGATATTGTTTGTCCCTCTCCTGGCAGCGTGCCCAACCGGTTTCTATGGGGAAGGATGTAACCAAACCTGTAGCTGCCGCAACGATGGCATCTGCCACCCGGCCAGTGGGCAGTGTGTGTGCACGCCCGGCTGGACCGGACCCAACTGCACAGAAGGTGTGTGGATCTTCTATGATGGGTAAATAAGGGTGCACCCTTATGTCTTATGTCCTCTCGCGTCTTTTTTCCTAGAATGCCCTCCAGGGTTTTACGGAGGAGACTGTCAGCAGCGCTGCCTGTGTCAGAATGGAGCCACCTGTAACAAGAGCACTGGGAAGTGTTCATGTGCCAGTGGATGGACGGGCACAGCCTGCGAACTCGGTAAGAGTCACAGATGATTTGAGTCTCCATGGATGTCGTTGCAAAACCACCTGAAGATTAATCATTTTAAGGAAGAGTCTCCTTTATTACAACTTGGATCTCATTTTTGTACATGTGGCTTCTATTTAAAATGACAAACTCGGATCAGCTAACATTTTTTTGGGGCCAGAAACCGGAGATGACTTGATAGGTCGTAAACGGGCTCAAAACCGTTTGCATGTGCAACACGTTGTGTAGGTCAAAGCTGAAGTTGTCTGTTTTAGAACAGTTATTGTTTTCAATTCCCAGTAAGTCTGGCTAACTGTTAAAAACGCGTAAGGCTTTGAGCTTGTGTTTAGCAACTTTGACAAAAAAAAAAAGACCCTGTTCAAGGTACTCGTACGTTCTCGGTACCAACCTGAGAGACACACTTGGGTTTAGTTAGTTGAATAAAACAGTTGACAACAAACATCTTTTACTAAGCTAAACTCTTTATTTATTCAAATATCACAAATGTAATAAATGTCAGTAGCTACAACAACCACAACATCTAACAAGAATTATTAGATGATGATTCTTATAAACAGGACGGACAAATCGGAACACGCTTATAGGCTCATTTCTAAACATTTGTTTTGATGTTCAGCCTCATCAGCCATAATGATTGTTGTTTCCTTTTACTGCCACGCAGAAGAATAGCATCACGTTCTCGAGTTCGCCTTGTTATTTTCCGGCAGAGTTAGTTTCTGGAGCGCGGACGCGTCTCTAGCGTAAGAATCTCTGCCGACCCGCCGATGACATTCCAGCTCGTTTTCCGTCTGAGCTCCATATCACACTCCATCCTCCCTCTGTGCCTGTTTCAACTTTTCCCCATCGAGGCCCCCCACCGCCCCCCCCCCTCATGCTCAGGAAGGCCTCAGATCTCGTCGCTGGAATGCTTCTAAACTCTGCGGCTACTAACTTGATTTCCCTACTCGATACTATAAACACACGGAGGTTCACACCATGACGTCTCTGTTTTGTTTCTCTTTCTGTGCTTGTGCGCGCTGCTGTATGTGTACACAGAGTGTGTGGCGGGCCGGTTCGGGAGGGACTGCCAGCAGCAGTGTGAATGTGAGAATGGCGGCCAGTGCGACGCGCTGACCGGACGCTGCAGCTGCAGCGGCGGCTGGGTCGGAGGGCGCTGCGAGAGAGGTGGGTCTCTGCTGAGTGACCCCAGCAAAAAAACAAATTAACAGACCGAAACTTTGATCTTGTGGGAACTGCTGTATTTTTGTCCGTTTTTAACCTCTGATTTGCACCTCCTTCGCTCAGCATGTGAAGCGGGCCTGTTCGGCGCCGGCTGTGAGGAGCGGTGTCGGTGTGTGCACGGGGATTCATGTCATCACGTCACTGGAGCGTGTCGGTGCCTGCCGGGCTGGAGAGGAAAACTCTGCGATAAAGGTGCAAACCGACAGTTGGCGACAGGCTCTTGACGCTTCTGCTCTACCAGAGTTTGTCCTTCAAATTAAGATTAGTTAAATGTGCAGAGTGTCTTACCAAATTCCAACTTCACACATCTTGTGTTCCTTTGACTTCCCGTCAGCATGTTTACCGGGTATGTTCGGAGAGGGCTGCATGCACCACTGCGCCTGTGCTCAGGGCACGTCCTGCCACCACGTCTCTGGAGACTGCGGCTGTCCTCCCGGATTCAAGGGAAATGGCTGTGAGCAGAGTGAGTGCTGCAGGATCCTCTTCTGCCTCCCGGCCATTTGGGAAATGAAGAAGTGTTGCAGGTTTTATAAAGTGATCTCTATCAACCGGTTCCTCTCCCAGCTTGTCTCCCAGGAACATTTGGACAGAACTGTAATCAGGTTTGCCGGTGCTCGGAGACAAACCAGCTCTGCCACCCGGTGTCCGGGTTATGCTACTGCGCTCCAGGTTTCCACGGCCGCAGATGTGACCAAAGTACAGAAAATAGTGCCTTTTATATCCTGCAGAAATATCGCATCGCAGCGAGGCAGAGGCCTTCTAAAAGTGCCAATTCTTTTTTTTACTCCTTTTTTCAGTTTGTCGAAAGGGTCGTTACGGCCTAAACTGTGAAAGCGAGTGCCAGTGTGAGAATGGAGGGAGGTGCATTCCGTCCACTGGAGCCTGTGATTGTCCAGCCGGTTTTATAGGAGCGAGCTGCAACATCAGTGAGTCCATCTAAAACGCAGTATTGGTGGTGGTAGTACATTGTTGGCATGAGATGACAAGTGTCCGGTGTGTGTCTCCATGGTGACAGCGTGTCCGGCCGGGCGGTACGGAGTGAACTGTGCTCGGGTGGAGCTGTGCGGAGACGGTGCCCAGAATGACCCCGTCACCGGTCGCTGCAAGTGCGTCGCCGGTCGAAGAGGAAGCGACTGTGCACACGGTCGGTACACTTGATACAGTTTGATCATTTACTGCTTTTTTTTTTGCGAAAACCACCGTCTCCACAATCAAAGTGTGAGGGTCCCAAACAGCGGATCACTGGTTCCATTACTCTTGTGACTAGAGCAGATTTTTGAAGGAATTTAAATCTTCACACCCACAAGAATTCAAAAACTTCACATAACGTCAACAGCATCTGACTGGATGTACTTTAGAAATGGCTTCAAACATCAGTCACATATTATTTGCAGTTTTAAAGAACACCTTGAATGTCAGTGAACAAACCTTAAATGCCCGCTAACATTTGGAACATTGTTTGTTTTATATCTCACCTATTTACCTCCTGAGTCTGAGAAAACATTATTTCTGAAAAGATGTGATGTAATCGTGTCTCTTTGGGTTTTGGGTCATTTGGACTATAAAGGTTGTGCGATTTTGTTTGGCTTGAGTGATGAGAGTATTTTTCATCTTTAGGTTGCCTTCCAGGCTGGTTTGGGGCGGAATGCGTTGAACGCTGTAACTGCAGTAATGGCGGCGTGTGTGACTCTGTGACCGGGGGCTGTATGTGCAGTTTGGGTTGGACCGGTTCACACTGCAATAAAGGTGAGACACACTTTCATAGCTTGTTTCTCACTGCAATCAATTTTATTTTCTGGCCTGCCTCTGCTCATTATTGCTAATTTAAGTCATAAGGTGTGTAACGATTCATTTTAACATTTGCCGATTCCATTCATGGACGATCTGGGTTAATTTAGAACGATCCGATTTGATTCAGTGACTTGAAATCGATTCAGTAACTTTACTGGACAGTGCAGGCAAAGTTTTTGAGATCCCTGTTGTTTCTTGTAAGGAAATCAGGTTTAAATTAATTATAGATATTATAAACAAGCGAACAACAATTAATGGCAAATGTATTAACCTTTTTGAATCAAGTGCCATTTTCAATGTAAACATTACACAATAATTACACAATGTTTGGATCAGTTCACAGAACCCCGGATTTTCATTCACTTTGTAGGGTCGCATGTCTTTACAGATAAACTTGGCAATTGTTACTGTGATGTTGAGTTTTGTGCTGGCGAGGCCTGAGGTGTCTGCAGAGCTGAGTTACCTTCTGCTGCTGCAGCGGTAACGCTGCCTGAGGTCCTGACTGTCGGCGTTGTTTAATCCCACGGCGCCTTAGTAGATGGCCGGAAAGATTCGTTGTGTTTCCGTGGTGTTTGCAAAAGCCAAAAAGTTTCCACACGCTGGATCGATAAGTTGGTTTGTAAATGTCTTGCTCGCAGTCGTCTCCTCCACGCTGTGTTTTGTTGTTGTTCCGAGTTTCGCGCGGCTGCCGCTGTGTACTGATGACGTCACAGACAGGCAGACAAAATCGAGTAACGTTTAACGTGTCTAAAGTGCTTAAAAACAAACACACACATCCATACAGTTTTTGTACTTTAATCCAATGTGCAGTTTCCAAGTATCGATACAATTGATTATGTACCATTTCAATCTATTTGTAATCGGTATATGTCGTCCGGAATGCCGATTTGCAGAACACTGATCGATTCAGTTGGATCGCAGGAATATAAATCGATTAATCGATTCAGTGAATGAATCGTTACACCCCTAATTTTTTGTGATTATTTGACTGTCTTTGTTTTGTTCGATTGCAGAATGTCCTGAGGGCAGATTTGGTGCCAACTGTCAGCTGAAATGTAACTGTCAAAATAACAGCACTTGTGACAGAGTGACGGGGACGTGTCGCTGTGGTCCAGGATACTATGGACAGCTGTGTGAACATGGTGAGAATCCAACAGATTAACACACATGATGAGGGAAGTTATAGCTGCACAAAATAAGCTATTTATATTTGACCCTTTTTAATAGAACATTTTTATTTGGAAGCACTAGGCTCGGCGATAATGGAAATAGACGTCGTTGGATTGATATTTTGACAGAATTGGTGGATAAGCAAAAATTTAGATTATGGCTGATTTCCCTCTGAACAACCATTTCACATTTAAGACCTATGCCATTAAATTAACGGTAGGCTACCTCATAATTACTGAAGTACAGCTTGGATACCCAGCCCCGTCTCAGACGTCCATTTGAACTCATTGCGCTTATTTTTAACTAAAGCATCCTGACTTTACATATTTACATGCACAATCATTAATCCAGTGGGAACATTTGCAAACCATGAAGATGTGCTTTAATTGCTGCGTCCTGGTCTTCAGCCTGTCCCCCCGGCCTCCACGGCCCGCTGTGCCAGCTGCAGTGCGACTGCATGAACGGAGCGTCCTGTCACCCGGCGTCGGGCGCCTGCGTTTGTCCTCCAGGATACCACGGAGCTCGCTGCCACAGAGGTCGGTCCCGTCACCGCTGACCGCTCGATAAAATGACACTATTAGTCACCTCTGAGCTGAATTTATCCCTTTTTAAAAAACTAAATGTCTCCCCTCAGTGTGTGAACAGGGGACCTTCGGTCATGGCTGTGCTAATGTGTGTGACTGTGAGGAAGACTCCCCATGTGACCCTGTGAGAGGAAGATGCCTCTGCTCCTCAGGGAGGACTGGACTCAAGTGTGACATTGGTAATCTCCTGGACTTTTTCTTAAGAAATGATTTTTTTAAAGTAATTTGTGAATATACATCATAAACGGGACTCTGAGAGCCATGTTGATACATTTTCTAAATGAGATGCCGTTGTGCCAATAGGTGGCCTATTGCATCTTCATCTAGATTAGAAATCTGCTGACAACTACGGTACAAACTCCACATTTGGTGGTTGGATTGTCGAAGTTGCTGCAATTTGGACAGGCAGCTAATTTTCTAAATGTGTCAGACTTTGTCTATTTGTGTTTCGTGGCAGAGTGCAGAGAGAATCGCTTCGGGCCCGACTGCGCAGAGACCTGCCAGTGTGGCAACGGGTCGCAGTGCGACCGACGCAACGGCCGCTGCAGCTGCCTGCACAGCTGGATCGGCCTCACCTGTCAAGAAGGTACGGTAATGACGAATCATCGCGACAGACCGTTCCCAGTGTGTTTAGTTCACCGCATCAGCACATCCACGTGGACAGCAGGCGAAGAGCTTTGTGGACAGAACATTTATGCTGACTAGAGTAAATAACTAGTTCTGGTGCTGACACGGTCTGCTTGTGCGTGCGGAGTGAAACTCACGGCTCGTTATGTGTTTGCCCAGGTGGACCTCCACGCATCACCGACAGCCGGAGAGGAGACTCGCAGCATGAGAACTCGTTATAGCACCGGGGCGGATTTTTTTTACTGAAGTGGCCCAAAAATGAGACAGGAAGTTGCAGCAGGTAGACCAACGTGGAAATAGACTAATGAGAACTGCCGTTGCATGTTTGGAGCCGAGCTGGACGATACGTCTCTGAACTGTCACAGTGGAACCCAGCTTCTCGCTGTCGAGATGGATCATTGAAGCTTTTAGTCTTCAGGACAACGTGGTTACTGCACCTTTGGTATTTTTCATTTAAAATTGTTGTCCTTGAAATACCTTTTGCAGGTAGTGTGTATAAAATCTCTTTATTTTGTAAGGAAAAATACAAAAGATTTCTGAATCCATATCAGTAGTATTAATGTTTTTTTATGAAGTACTACTCAGTCAAATGGTGCAAAAAAAACTTGAATGCCTTAATTGACAGCTGGACTCTACATTTATTTTGCACCTTCTTGAAGGTTCAAATGTAAAGTCTTAAATATTTTTCCTTGAATCGATTTTTGTGTATAAATTGCTTCATATTTATATTTCTCAGTTGTACACAATTGAAATGTTCTTTGGGAGACTAATAAACTAACAACCAATGATATTTCACACGCCAACAAAGACACATGAAAGGATAATTTACCATTCTTATTTTATCATTGAGGATCAAAGCTGTACATCCTGTCTAAATCCAAGCACAGTGCAGATAGCAACGCCTGCAAGAAAACTAAAAGGCAGAGGTGATCACAACCAAAAAAGATATATACAAAGGTTAAACTATGTACAGGAAAGACTCACACATCTTCAGAATAAATTCTATCGTTGCATACACAACAAAGAAATTGCTTCTTTTTGTCAGTCTTAAAATCGATACAACACTGATAGGAAAAATGCAGCATGATGAAAAAAAATCAAGACTGTTCTTTTGACTGCAATATAGGCGAAAACGTAAAAATATATTCTCTGTGAAACCTAGAACCTTCTGTAAAATAAGCGCTATCCACCCGTGGGTCTGTTTTAATTTCTGAACAGCAAGCATGACCTACTACACTTCAACCTTAATACATTGAGTTATTTCTACAATGTGCAGAAATCTTTGTTGGGCAGGTCAGCGCGGTGGGAAATAACTGATTAAACGAAATGCACAGCAATACCATTTAAAGGGAAACTGACATTTTTAGGAAATCTACTTATTTGCTTTCTTCGCTGAGATTGACAACGCACAGTTTTACACTACAGAAAACAGCTAGCATTACTCAGTCTGCCTAACAGCACCTCTGAAGCTCGTCAGTTTCACTACCATACAAACGGTTTATGAATGAAACACTTATTTGTGAGCAGGAGGCAGAATCCATCCGGTCTATGCTAAGCTTCATCACACTTTGCAGACAGATATAATTGTGGTAGCAATCATTTTTTTTTATATTTAGCGAGAAAGCAAAAAGGTGCATTTTCCAAAATGCCGAACAAAGTCTCAGACGTCCTCCCCAATCCCTGCAGATGAAAACATTAAGACAAGAAATCCACAGACTAACTTAACACACAGCAAATCCAACTCATACAGAGATCAACTATTACAACAGGCTTAAAGCAAGGGATTAGTTCAGTTAACCCCATGCCCCACACAGGACCAATAGACACAAAATCACCTACTGCCGTTAAAAATCCCTCGAAGAGGAACGAAGCAGACCTCATCCACACTAACGTTTCCTTTGATTATTCCCTACACGTCATCTCATGCCATTCGCACTAATGACAGTTTCTCAATGTGTAATGTTTATTTTCTGCAAAGAATCAATATTAGATCAGCTGTTAGTAAGCAGGGTAGCATCATCTTACTTGTCCCATAGGTACTGTAGTCAGGGTAAACAGGCCCATGCTTAGAGGATTTATCGCATGCGATCCACTTGTGCTTTAATCACAGTAAGACGCCACCTAAAGGAGAAAGAATGATGTTCGGCTGCGTCAAATCCTGCGGTAATATTTCTGATACGTCTCAGGTTGTAGGTCGCCTGAAACAAACCTTACCGATCCTAAAGCAAGTAGCTGTACTTATGCATTCTGTATTTGTTATCTAGTATAATGGAGTGGTCAAGTAAAGAGAGATATATATATGGAGTAAAGTCCATATCATAGATAGATAAGCTGGGTAGCACATGCGCCAAGATGACTTCTACGTTCTTGCAGGAGGTGAGAGTGAAACACTTGGTTGTGTCTTCAAAGACAGACGAAGATCTTTGGCTCAAGCCACGCTAAAATGTCACTGGTCCTGCCCAGTGTCCACACATGAAAGAAAGACAACCTCCTGACCACGCACACGCCAACACAACACTAAAACCACCGGCTCTGTTCCCTGAGCCGCTGCTACCCACTGATTAACTGGAGACTCCTCCTCCTCCTCGCAGCCGCGGACACGAGACCAGTCGGGCTGCTTGTCTACGCCAACCGCCTGCAGCCTTGTCAGATGCAACTGTAAATAAGGCAGAAACACTTAAATAAAATGGGATCAAGGAGAGGTTTACACGATACGGACCCTCGGGTCTGAAAGGGGGGGATCAGAGGTCAGTGACGTCCGATGCTGCGTTTGATTTGACGCGACTGCAGTTCCCACCGTCGGGGACAAAGGAATGGTTAATCTCTTCGGTGGTGGACGATTTGCCCCGGCGCGTCGTCCCGCGGACTGTTCCCAGGGCAGGGGGGCGGAGAGCCCCCTCCTCGTCATCTTGGCTGCCACCAACACACTCAGACAGCTGGCGTTGTGGAGCATCGAGCTGGACACACGCGGGATGAGGAGGAGTCTGATTCTATAGTGCAATGGCTGTGAGATTAGACTACTGGGTTCGCCATCCTCCCCCCTCTTTAAACTACCGACGGCACACTGACGATACTAAAGTGCTGATTGTTGAAGCCCACGACGAGGCTCGTACACCGGCAATGTCCACAACATAAAACAATAGGTTTTACAGAGAAACCTCGACGGACTCTTACAGTACACAAGTGTTTTGTAAACGGAACATCCAAGGAACGAATGTGTGCAGAATGACCCCGACGATATGAGAGCGGAGTAGTTCTCATACATACAGTATGAACTTAATCTTCCTTTTAGTTTTAGAAAAAAAAGGCAAAAAATAAATAAAATCTGGCTGCCGAGCAAGCATGTGCCTTTTTTTTTTAAAGGTATTTTTCTCTATGGTTTTAAAATACGTTCAGCTGAATTGAATGTATAACTTATTTAAGTATGAGCGCATATCCATAACCTTTCTTCCACGTTTTGTTCCCCCCCACTCACCACACACCTTTCCTTATCTTACCCCTGTAACTAAATGAGGTGCCCTGGGTGCCCTTGGTGTGGCCGGACTCATGCACCAGGGTCTCACTCAGTAAAAGCTCAGGCAAACAGAGGATCAGGCAAAGGTGGGGCGCCGCAGGCTGCAGGCCGGGCGCAGGCCTGCCGCGCGTTAGGAGCGGTAGTCTTTTTTACTGTACGGCTTGTTCCCCAGGATGCTGTCCACCTCGTGTGTGATGGACGATGACAACTTTGGAAGAACCTGTGACAGAGATAGAAGTGGTGAATATGTTTTTCTTACTTACATGTGCCATCTTCACAGCACGCAGAGAAAATTCGCAGCACTCGCCTGCAGTTGCACATCAAAGCCTTTAGAGGGTGACCTGAGGTTTTTTGTAGTTGTAAACAGTGATGTCTGCTACTTCCAGCTCATTAATTTAAAAAAAGCAACCCCAAAAATTATTGTGATCGTTTATAGCTGATGTGCAGCTTATTACATTTGTATAAAATCTTTTCACACACAAAAAAAATTAAGTATTCCTGGTAAAATACACCCAGTTAGTGTTATTATTTTTACTGTAATTTCCATCAGAGAAAACTGCCTACTCCCATGCAGAAAAAAAATGTTCAGAAATAAGAATAAAGTGTAAAGGAGTGACCCAGTAAATGTAAAACTGCTCAGCCCTTAAGAAAGGTGAGCACAGCATTTCAGAACTGAAATACCAAATGTGCTCAGGGAGAGACGACATATGGTGTGTGCACATATCTAGTATACACACACACACACACGGGAGGACACACAAAGCATCAGAACAGAATAGCGTATGCTCTTCACCGCCGGCTGGACATAATGCGAGGAAAGGACGGAAACCTCCGCCGGTCTGCAAACCCCTTAAAAGGCTGCATCTTATCAGGAGAGGAAGAAATGGCCGTAAGCCCGTCTCCAATCCCCCTGGCAAACGATACTCCGCTGACCTTATTAACTCCGTACAGTAAAGCACCCAAGCGTGCAGCAGCAAACCGCCCGGGGAGCCGAGCCGAGGCCCCCGACAGGAAGCTGCCTTTACAGATTGTGAGGCACGAATATGGAACTTCTGAAACGGGTCGGTTCACACTCGGACACATATCGAGCGAGTGATTCGCTCTGCAGAAAAACAAACACAAGTACATAAAACACTAGTTTGGTGGTCTCACCTGTATCGCTCCTATGTTCTCCATCAACTGGTCGGTGTTGGACGCCCCTAAGAGGACTGAGCTCACGCCCTCGTTCCGTAGGCACCACGCTGCAGGAGACCAGTAAACAGCAATGACACCCCCCACCACGAGTATGAACACACACACACACACACACACACACACACACACACCAGTGCAACATTCCTGGCCACGAATTATGAGAATAAGTGTGAACATACAAATTAACTCTGGTCCCAACCTCCCATCAATCACAAAGTGGTAAAAGTACTCAAAGACCTTATGTATATCGCAACAAAAAATACTCCAAAGAGTAAAACTCTTTAGATTATCAAAATACCCAGTGTTACTTGTATTCCTAAATTCAAGTACTGTAGTCTTCTCATAACGTGGAGAAAAACATGTTTTAGGTCAAAGAATTCTGACACAGAAGACTCTGCTCTGCTGCGCAATTATAAAAGCGAGCTGTCTTGTGCAATGCGACTGCTTGCCAGCAGATTACAGCATGAAAGGGATGAAAAAAGGTAGCTGAAAAATATAAATCCCACAGATCTTAGAGAATATGGCCTTGCAATGGTTTGACGCGGTCCTTCCCTCAGGCCACAGCCGCTACTTGTTCTGTCCTCACAGCCGCCACCTCAACTCAACACCCGCGCCAGCAGCACCAGGGCTCCAAAAGGAGTCCATCATTGTTACATCGTTTTTACTCAATACTAAAGTGCCATAGTGATGTAGAGGACTACATGACGGACATACATCTTGCGCTGGAAGGATTCCTGGTAATTGGGAGAGATGAGTGTGCCCCCTAATGGGCCGTGAAACCTAAGCTATGACGACGGCGAAAGATCCCTGAGAAAGGAGACGGGTCCCGAATTTACTAACATCTGACACTTTAACAGCCTTCGCAAGAGTGTACTTCTTTAGGGTTTGCACATTGTCACTTTCCTGCCCTGAGTCATCAGCGTATGTCTGGGATGCTATTTTAGTGCTGACACTGGAAACCGTGAAATACATGTTTACAACACAGGATTCTACAAAGATCTACTGTAAACATGGTTGCCTCCCCTGTGTCGACATTTACATTACTCCCTTAATGTATTTATGGGAATGTGCCACATCCATTTTTCAATGTTTATACTTCGATTTGATCAACTGAGGCCTATTGGTCCCTGAAACACAATGAGAGATGTTTTAGACAACAACAACAATTCAACAGTCAAACCGGAGAGGCGCCAGGGTGATGTTGACCTCGGTGCGTCCGAGGCAGAGGGACGGACAGACAGACAGAAAGAGAGAGAGCGGCAGAGTGCATCTGCGTACCGATGGCGAGTTGGGGCAGCGTGCAGCCCAGCCGCTCCGCGATCGCCTGCAGCTCTTTCAACTTCGCCTGCTGACGCCGGCCCTCCTCGCTCAAGATCTTGTCCTTCAACCACTGGTAACCCTGTCAAAAACACAGCACACCTGCTCAAAAACGCAGCCCTGCTCACACGCCGCTGCGCCGCAGCGCCCGTGTCACCAGGGCCTCGTTTTTAAACACGTGACTGTCTCCTACTGTCTGCGCCAGAGCTGCGCTTACAGCAATACAAAACGTGTGGTTCAACATGATGACAAACATTGGAGGTCAAATCTCTAGTTAAACTAACTGCTATTGAGATTTACTAGACGTACATCTGTTTGTTCTCAGCTGAGTGAAAACATGATTGTTTACAAAGTACCATTTATATCATAGTGCTGTAATTAGAAAATGAGAAACCAGTCACAACAATCAAAGAGCCAAAGGACCACAAACATCCACAAACAACACTGAAGTCACCAAAGATACGGCACAACAGCGAAATGGAGAACTACTTCCCGCCCTAATTCACTGTCACCGACACACGATCCACCAATACACAACATGCCACTCCACCACACAAGTCAGGTGTCAGCTTCGGTGTAATGCAGAGGGTTGATTGTTAAAATTCAGTGTGTTTATTCAAAGGAAATATCTCGCTGTGTTAGTTAGTGCTCGACGAATTAAATCAATAAAACGGTTTCTCCTCATTAATGTTCCCTCTAGTTCCATTATACGTATCAGAAAACAAAATACTTCTATAAATCCAAACAAAATAATAAAGTATTTGCTCTGTGTGTGTGTGTGTGTGTTTGTATCGTGTGCGGTCATGTGCATGCACTAAATTGTGTTACGCTGACACCAGCTGGAAAACGTTGTGGAACAACAAAGCTGGGGAAGAGGTGCACAGTGCATGGCGTCAACCATGGCACGAAAACACACAGATATGCGAGGTGTGCACGGAGTGACAGAACCTGGAAGACACTAATACACACAGGTAAACAAACAAACAAACCAGCAACCAGTAGGGAGACACTGAGAGGGGACACCGGCACAGATGAGTGGATAAAAAAACCAGAAAGCATGTTCCGACTACCTTCAGAGAGGCCCGGGAGTAGGGAGGCACCCTGCCGTCGTATTTCCCTGAGATGATACCGCAGGCCAGTGGGGACCACGTCATGGCCCCCACACCTGAGAGAGGAAGGCGTGATCGTCAGGACACCATCACTTTCTCGTTAAGTTACACTTACTTACTACATCAGGTTATCGCCGTACAAAAATAATGATAATAATGAAACACTCTGCATGGTTCATCCTCTGTGTTCATCCTCCGGCCCGCAGAGGTGGAGCGTAGAAACAAAGCCACATCGCCATCACTGCTCACCGATCTTATGGAAGAGCTCCGGTAGCTGCACCTCCACCTTCTCTCGCTGGAACATGTGGTACTCGGCCTGCTCGCAGATGGGAGGAATCTGGTTGAATTGCCTCGCCACCGAGTATGCTTCCTAAAGGACATGAGAGGACATGAATGAAACATATTTTACATTACATGTCACTTAGCTGACGCTTATATCCAAAGCGACTTACAATAAGTGCATTCAACCATAGGGTACAAACTCAGAAGAGCAAGAAACAAGAAAGTGCAATTTCCTCAAATAAGCCAATTTACAATTTGCTATTGATAAGTGCCGTTGTAAGTACAACGCATATATATATATATATATAAATATATATGTATATATACACATAGATTTATGTATCTTTATATCTATACATATATTTGATATGTATCACCATTATCTCCATCGGGCTCCAGCGAGATGTCCCCCAGTACATGGCCATGCCTTGGTTTATCACATGGGTCATTGCTCGAACCGTTTCTGCAAGTAAAAACACAAACAGTGAAAAACTATCAATGCTGAAGAGGCACTGTTGTGTTCACAGAATTGTATATTCTCTGCTGCTTTCATTCTCGTAAGACCCAGAGCTGCTCTGTATTATTATAAGTGACTTAATTATAATCCTGTGAAGTGCAGCACTCTGTGATTCAGGAGTAGTGTGAAGGCTGATTTTATTAAATCAGAATGATTCAGACTGATGAGTGTGACAATTTATGACAAGGCACATTGATGTAGAAGTCTAGCAAGATTATGTCTAATATTCAAAATGCTACAGACCCCTGTGGAATATTCCCAGTGGAATAAATAAGAGATGACAGGCATCTTCACAACATCGGAAAACTGGAGTACAACTTATGAAGCAGAGGGTTGAAAATTAGTGTCCCAGACAGGATCCGGAGCACCAGAGCGTAATGAAACCGGTGCATGTGGACCATCAATCATCCTCCGTCGCTTCACCTCGAGTGTCCTTTCTCTCTGACCGCTTGGCTTAAGAGGGTTTCTCTGTAAACTGACGGAGCATCGAGTCACCACTTCCTCGTTCTGCACACTGCCCTTCAGCTATCGGCAGAATAAAAACACACCAGATGTTCCAACCACTGTTTTGTGCGCATAAACTCTTTTCATGTCTTTTTTCATGTTTCACTCTTTTCAGCGCTTTCCATGTGAACTGCGTGCGATCTTTAAAAACGCCCCGACGTTCGCATTCAAATGACACCAGCTAATTTGCACTAACGAGACACTGAAGTGTAGTGAAAGAGCCGAAGCAGTGAAGCATGAAACTGAAGGCAGGACGATGACCTCTAACCGAACTCGGCACCCCAAAGGGGAAGTTCGACTCCGGAGCAGATGCATACTGAGAGACCAGCTGAGCCCACACACAGTCAGCGCTGTGCCATTTCAAAAAGGTCTCCAGCATCCGAATACATCCTCATCCTAACTGTGGAGGTGGAAGCACTGGGACAACATGCAGCGTTTAAAATAGATATTTTAGATTCTGGAGGTTTGTACATCAGAGTATTGTCATTGCAGTAGTCATAGAGACAGAAAGGAGGGGGGGGGGGGGGGGGGTTATGCGTAATACAACAAAACATAAGGAAAAGATGGTGAGGGGGAGAAAAATGGCGAAGATTCAAAAACGATGAAGAAACACCAGTAGTAGCAGTATGATTACCTTCCATGGGCGTATTTGGGTCTGGTCTGTTCGCAAAAACCACATCCACGTAGTCTAACTGCAGTCTTTCTAGAGAAGCTTTTAAACCTAGAAATGAGCCCCAGTTAGTACAGTAAATATGTTCTTTCATAAAACTAAATCTAAATAAACGGAGGAATTCTCCATCTCCGTCGGCTTTTTACCTTCTATAATGTGTTTTCGGGATAAACCTCTTTCAGTCTCCGCTCTGAAAAAAAAGAAAAGAATGGTCAATCACATTTCTTATTGAAAAGTAGCCGACAACTAATCAGTTGAGATGACAAAAAAAACATCAAACAGAAAAATCTCCAGCAGGGTCATTTCTTATTTGAGTCAGAAAAGCAGCCACATGAAACTTACTTTCCACCCCAGAAGATCTTTGTTGTTATCACCAGAGTTGAACGTCTGAAAATAGAAAAGGAAAACACATCTGTCACAACATCTGCCAAACGCAGAGAACTAAAGCAAAAATAACCTCAGAAATAGGAGCTGGTGAGATCTCCGCACAAAGCGTATGCTACGTTTTAACAACTGGGATGAAAAGCCCCGACGCCCCCTTTGGGCAGTCATGCCTTTCTACATTATCTTCTTCAGTGTCACACGCAACCGCATCCCGCGATATGGAATACGGATGAACGTAACAGAGCTGGACTGGCGGCGGCGAACGAGTGTTTGTAGGCGTAAAACCTGACGGTGCTATACAAATGTCAACCCAGGGCACGACAAAGTAGACGTTCATCCTTTATTCAGCATCGTTGGGGGGACACAGGAGTGTGCGCACGGCACGGCGGCCCGCATGAATCTTTTATCCTCCTACCTTACGGTTCCAGTTCGCAACACACAGCCTCCCAATATGTGCAAGGAAGGAGATGACACAAGATTAGGGTTGCTGGCTGGGGCGGAAATTAAAGAGAAAAGAACCAAAATCAATAGACGTGCGCCTCGTACCTCCATCCTTTCTTCTTTATGATGTTCCCCAGCACCACCTCCGCCCTGCAAAGCGGACGGAGAGAACATTAAATACTGATTCAAAATGACAAGAGCATTTGCACCTGACTGGGAATGCAGTGTTTACTGTGCTGTATAATTCATAACAGGAGAGAGCCCCTGTTTAGGAGTGAGGTGTGGAAATGACAGGAGAGCCTGGGACCAGCTGTGTTGTGGAGGCACCAGTATGACACTCATTAGCAGCCAGAGGTGCTAATGAGTGACATTATGACCAACATGGCTCATTAGGGCCGGGCAGAGAGCCGGCAGTAGGATCCCTCTCCAGTCTCATTAATCACACTCATTTTTCACACAATTTCTATTTACACAATTGTGTTCACAGATAAAATAATCCAACTACAGTCATTTCTTTGTGGAATACATCTTGGGTGCCCTGATGGCAGCTGCTCTAATCGATGCATTTTTAAGATCAATTAGGTTTTGTTTTAAAATCTTCAAGGACAATCATTTATCTCATTCATGAATGTGCATTAGTTTTAGTGTTCCTGCCGAGCGTCCGGTTTGTGTTTGTAGTCTTCAGAACTCTTCTACGTGCTTATTAGGTGTGAGGATTCTTCTGCTCATTGTTTTGAGAAAGTAATCTGTAGATTGAGCGACTGAAGTCAAAGTTACCTCTGAGGTGGTGGTGGGGGGGGGGGGGGGGGGGGGGGGGCGTCCCGGGCAGCGAGCTAATACTTTGTTTACTTCAGCGGGAACTGACTAAATAAATGATGTAACATTAATATTCATCTGGAAAGGTTTCCCGACATGCAATCAATGTCACTTCCTTAGCCACGGCACTGCTGATCTCGCCCTGAGGCTGCTGATTAGCCGCTGACTGCATTGGGGTCAGTTTACACGGCTTCCCACTGAGATGAAAAATACTATTCAACGGTTTTGCACACCATCACCCCCCCCCCCGGGTTCACGGTTTATTTGTATCTCTCTCGTGTCCCTGACAGGATGAGGTATTGAAGGTCGACTCTCTTTTTTTTTTCTATGAGAGTCCACACATTTTTCTGTAAATGGAATTTCTTGCCTTTCTACTCCTCTTTACACAACATGTGTACGTACATTCATTCACTAAAAGCAAGGGCTGGCATGCAAGGTGATGACATGCCCTTCCGGATACAAGCATACACACAGTACACGGTTGCCAAGGGAACACACAGACAAACACACAGTTTAGAAAAGGTGGCTTTTCAGAACTAAAATGGATCAATTTACACATCAACAAAATGTGCAGATTGTGAGCAAGTGTCAACACTATGCAGGTCCAGAATAATGGATGCTTCTAAAGGGCTACATGGGCCAAATGCAAAATTCCATGAAAACTACACCTCACATATTAACCATTATTAGAGCATTTTATGTAGTAAGTATGACCCTTAATATTAAACCTTAAAGGTTTTTTTTATTGTGTCTTTTGTCTATCATGTATTAAAAAATACCGGTACGATGCATTCGCACAAAAAGCAGCACAAGTACTACTTCGAGCCTTTTCAGACGCTGCCAGTTGGACCCACAGCTTTTTAAACATCAAGCACTTTCCTGAAGTCTGCATTTGTGTACATAACATTGTGTATTGCTTTTTCTGAAATGGGAGTAATCTGGGAGCTCAGCCATGAGATACAGAGTGCCTTGAGCAGGTTGACTTTCTTCCTTTGTTTGTTATTTGTTAATTATGTCTTTGTTCAAGTGGCGTGTTGATGTGAATTATGACCAAAATAACAAAATAATGTTGCATGATTTATGCATTTACAATAATGTATTACTTCTCCGTAATTATGCTTCCAATTTGTCACTAGTGTCAGACAACATTAGTATGCATCTAGAGCAAAACGCCTGAGCCTGAAAAATACTAACATACTTATAAATGCTTTGCTACAATATGCGTTTGCTGATAACAGCAGCTCCACGGGACACACAGGGATTATTTGTGCAATTACACATTTGTATTTATATTTCTGAGAAACAGTAGCTTGCATATTGCAAAAGATACGCTGGTTGAGAATCACAATCCATACCTATATGTGCAAAATGTTTGTTTGTTTGTTGTTGTGGGCTGACAGTTTCTGTTTGAAAAAAGGGCCACAGCCAGAACAAGCATGGCAGACAAACAGCCACCTGCCACGCGATGTGCATGAGCAGAACGCAGAGTGTGAGCACAGCTTACGAACCTCATTTATCCGTCCACGCTCGCAGTACAGAAGCAACATTGCAGCAGCCACCAGCTCCACGTTACGGACTATAAGTCTGACTGATGAAGGAATCGCAGTAAGCCAGAACCGAGGACTTAACATGAAAGCTTTTTTCCCCCCATTCCGATGAGCAAAATGTGTGATTTCTTTGTACCCTTATGTATGTGTGTAATCTAAACTACTCTTCGCTGCTTCGCAGGGAAAGTAATCAGGATTAACACCTGTGCAACACATTCTGAGCTGCGTGACATGCCGTCACAGATATCTCCTTTCTCGCGAACTGTGCCCCGTTTTATTGTCCGGTAAACTTTTCTAAAACAACAAGGCAAACAGGTTGTTGAACCCCCCCACCCCCCACCCCCCCAGTCTCTCGGAATAATGAAGCATCTAGTGATGACATTTAGCAGGCAACAGCTGCTAAGGAAAACCACGGAGACCTGCTGCATGTTTCTAGCTTCTTTTGTTTGTTTGGATTTTCCCGTGGGACTCTGGACGCATCTCCCAAAACATAAAGGCACAACTGGGCTATTCTTGGGAGGATTAAAAAGAAAAAAAGAGGACTTGGTGCTGTTAATCACAGATACTGTTTGCAAAGGATAATCCCCTAGATTATTTCAAAGCACCCAAGTTACTATAAAGCCAGATTAATCCAAGCAGGAATTTGAAGCATCCCTACATGCATCAATGAGGCGGCACTAGGCTGCTTTCCGAAGTTAAAAATATAAACACTGGCTGTGCTGTAAATTTAGACCATGAAAATAAATATCTGAAACCTTATGAGATTATGACTTTGATACAATACCTGTTTATAATTATCGGGATACCAGAATTCAATATAATACCACAAATAGGATACTGGTATATTGATCAATAATAGTAATAAATAAAATGTTCCTACCCAGCTTTGTAAACACTTAACAAATGGCATTTTTATTCAGTTTTTTTAACCATTTGTTTTACGTCATGTTCTTCATACTTTTTGCCCTCTCTGGGTCTCCCATGCTAATGAAGTACCAATACAAAAAATCTGCAAAATTGTATTGTTTTTAACGTACGGGTAGCGTGTTGCCTTTTTAACGTTAACAGCGCATTGCTACGTGACCGGTGACACAAGATATACTCACTTTCCAGCAGCGTAGACTTCCGCTGTATCAAACAGATTTATGCCATTTTCATAGGCCAGAGTCATGAGCTGCTCTGCCGTCTGCAGAGAGATCAGGGGAGAAGGAACAGAGAGGGGGGGCGGGATGGGGTGAGGAACCACTGATGTGAGGTGCAAAGACTTAATTTATTGAACTTCTTTCATACGACTAAAGAAGGCCTCCGGGTCTTCGCCTTCCTTGAACGTGTGATTATTATCACACTGTTGACTCCCTCTGGCAATATATTTTCGCTAAGTATAAATAGGCTTCTAGAGCAACGCAGCATGTGCCAGATTGTGTGGAAGGTTTTCCTTCCCCAGCTTTGACTGACAAAGGATGACCAACTCCATCAAGGCTCACCTCGTCCGTTATCTGTCCACCGAACGTCACCCATGTTCCTGCAGAGGTGGACAAGGAGATGAGTTCAGAGAACATACATGTGCACACAGATGAGCAAGTGAACGGAGAGTTCTGCACAAGTCATACGGCACATAAAGCACAAGAAACACGTTGCAGCAAACGTGTGTCTCGTGATAAAAAACCCTCTTACCCAATCCAAGGCAGGACACCCGCAGGCCTGACTTCCCAAGGTTTCTGTCAAAACAGAGAGAATTACATTAACATTGATGCAGCACTAAGGGGGCAGTGATTTGTAGTATTCTGCACTCCCGCGGCGGCTGTGACCGTTAGAGTAGGACTTTAAGCCTCATTTGTAAATTGATACACAAACAACTGAATGACTCCTTTGTAATGTGAGGAAAGCCTGTTAGTGCAGTGGAAGCTTAAAGTTATAGAAGCAGAAAAAAACGGGGGGTTTTGTACGGATGTTAGTGATGACACACGTAGCATACCTTAGCAAGGAGAGTAACACATGTGCCGACAATGAGAGTGTGTGTGTGCAGCAATATGTCAGAGAGGAAGTGGATCTTAAGCAGGCCCACCATGACATCCACTAAAATTTCTCACAGCACACCCGGATCCCTCAGCAGCTATCTGACTAAAATCCCCCCGAAGCAAACCGAAGGCTTGACTACTGACAACAACTTGCTCCTAAAGCTGCCGTCTCTGAGCCGCACAGTCCAGAAAAACCCCCCCGCTGACAATCACAGAACTAACAGAAATTTCTGATACAGCCTAATTAAAAGGCAACATCAAAATAACTGATCTGGTTAAATATGCCTTTATAGTCTTTTCAGGAGGAGCTTGGAATAGTTTCACTCAAATAGGAAAGGATTTAAACATACATATGAAGTGTGGTACCTCTGGTCATCCTGTTTCTAGAAATAAGCTGGCAGTGTAAAGAGATAAAAGAACTGTCTTTTTTTTTTTTTTATACAAATGATGTAACATGTGCAGGAGTCAAAGTGAGTGTGTGGGAGGTGATCTAATATATTTTTGTAAGACTGCCTGTATAGAAATACGGGGGAAATGAAAAGGAGTGAAGAGGGAGACAGGATAGTTGAGCTCTGTGTGAGCAGATGTGTGTGTTATAGAACAGTGCTTGTGACGGCATGTTTGAGTGGGACGGTGTGTGTGTGTGTGTGTGTGTGTATGTGTGTGTATGTTTAAGCCACGGTAAGATTGCTGCGCTGACTAGCAAAACCCTTTAATGTGGTCTGAACAAAGTCAACACAAAAGAATGACTAAATTGCTTCAAATAGATCTCAACACTATCACATGTCGGCTAAGTGGGGCTACTAAGAGGCTACATTTGTGTTGAAGTGAAACAAATAAAGCCTCTTAAAATGCTTTATTTCTTTCTGATGTATTTTCATACACTTTCCATTTTAGAAGAGTTAATCCAGTTAAATGTTCACGTTATCATTTAACCTCATTAGTTCCACACTTTCTTCACTAAACCACCATGGATGCTGGCAGAGTCTCCCCATTTGCCCGCTTGGTTTTCTGACTCAAGATGTATCAAATCCCATCAAACGTCAAACTTTAGCCATCAGAGATTTCAGAGCAATCATATTAAAAAATGAAGAAAAAAAATCCAGTAAGTTTGTGACTGTGAAGTAAATAGGGTCAAAATGTTTACGACAGAAAGCCTCATTAAAAAGATATAATTCGGCCAGTGAGGTCTGTAATTGGGTTATACTTTGAATCCGAGAGCACGATGACTTTAAGTATTAGGAAGGAGCCTGCTGACTCATGAGCAAAGACAGTGGGACACGAGGGAGACGAGAGACAGATAAACAGGAATCCAGTGGGACTACGAGCTCTTACAGTTCACCAGTGTGACAAGGTTAACGCAAGTCCCCTCGGGCAAACCCCCCGAGCGAATCTACAATTAACGGCCTCTTAATTGCATGAGAAAAATACCAACCGGCGGCCAGCTTTGCTGACTAAAATTGTTAATGGAGCATAGAGCATATTTGCTGGTGTTTTTAATGATGAACAAAAGACATTTGTCTGGTGCTAAATAGCTTCTTCACTCTAAATTCATCTCGACTGAACCTTTCAGTGGTTTGTCTCTGAACACGGTGGGGTAAAACTTTACATTCAAACCGTGCATGCTTCCAGATGTAAATACCTAATGTGATTTAATTAGTGTGTTACATGTGTTAATACATGGGGCACAAGCATGTTCAAAAAAATAGACTGAGTAAAGCTGTCAAATGAGATACTGGATGCACGCGCTTCCTGATTTTCAACATTTTCTTCAGCACGTTAGAGATTAACACAAAGCGAAGCTTACTGCATTGCATAAGCATGATTTACACAGTAATACTGCACGTACAGTACCGGTGCGTTTCAGCAAAAATTAGTAGGGTATCAGAACACACAGCTCTGCCCTGGCAATCAATATCATTGTGAGGTTGTTCCTTTGTCAGCAAATTGTTTTGTTCAATATTTTACCAGACTGGCTTTGAATGCCGCATTGTGCTTTGCTGCAGTGACCCTCTGCCAGGGGTCTGCAAGCAGGCAGGTGTCGGGTTGCCGCCGAGCCTCGGCAGACATGGACCACAACAGTAAAGTCATCTCACGCCCTCCTCAATAATGAAGGAGACGAGAACAGTAGAGAGCCGGAACGCAACAGCCCTGCAGCGACTGCAGGGACGAAGCCTGACGAGACACAAAGTGACCCGTGCGCATGATCAGTCCAGTTGGAAACCTTTCTTCGGAGTTAACATTAGCCCTCTGATCACAATAGCCTGAAGCTTTTCACTTATGGTATGTCGGTTTATTTGATTACGGGTGGCTTGAAGATCTATTTGGGGGTTGTTTATAGACGGGCTCCATTTCACTTCAGCTTGACACAAAGAATCCTACTCGTCTATGTCAACCTTTCAGCTGTGCTGAGGTCTCTGGCTGTGATTGATGAAAGATGACTTGTGGAAAATAGGGGAGGTTATTTTCCATTACGGTCAACAGGTACATCGGACATCCCCCGACCAATCAGTCATGCATGCCCGTTCGATTGTTTATAATCAGCTCGTTGTCTCAAAAAAGAAAGATATATTCTATGGATTCTCACCAATAGTTCAATATTCCTAATCATCAAAGGGGCACCAACAGAACAAGTCGTGGAACCACTGATGTAGCCAGACAGTGTGTCAAAGACTTAAATGTGTCGTTTCTCATGATTGACATACACCCAGGAGTCTCTGTTGAGGCAATTGGAAATCCCTTTAAACAAAACACTGTAGTGACATTTCTCAGAACGATCAAGACACAATGGCATGTGTGATTCCCCTTGAGGTTGCAACTGGAAGTAAAGGACAGTGTGGGGCTACCAAGTACGACCATGATCGATCATGCGGTCAAACTATCAAATCGTGTCCACGTGAAAGTCTACTGAAAATAAATGGCAGCCTACATTATGAAAATACGCCAACTTGTGTTTTTTACATCAATACTGTCAGCTTCAATTCACAAGCCAGCAAAATAATCATCTAAACCCACTCCAAACTATCTTCTGGTCTAATACGGCAAAGAAGGAAAACACAAACCAACAAAAGTTTGCGTGTCAGTAACAAGTTCTACGTGATCTACTAAATCAAACAGGCACAAACATATCACCCCTCTGCTTTGCTCTCTTTACTGGCTTCCTGTAACCTACAGGATCCAATTCAAAATTCTCACCATAACCTACAGGGCTCTACATGGTCAGGCCCCTGACTATCTTGCAAACATAATTCACTTACATACCCCCATCCCGGTCTTTCAGGTCTGTCAATCAAAATCTGCTATCCATGCCACGCACGCGTCTGAAGACATGTGGGGACAGAGCCTTTGAAGCTATGGCACCCAGACTCTGGAATGCTCCACCAACCAGCATTAGGTTTGCTGAGATTGTGGACTGTTTTAAAGGACAAGCGAAGACTCATTTGTTCAGGCTAGCTTTTGGGTAGCCTCCGTCTTTTATTCTTTTGACTATTTGTATTTTATATTGACTGTTTTAATGTTTATGCACATTGTAAAGCACTTTGTGACCTTGTCTGTGAAAAGCGCTGTACAAATAAATTTTACTTACTTACCGTTTCACCCATTAAACCATAACGTATAGAGAGTCAACTAAATACCTACCATGACAAATCTTCTGTGTGCTTTGAAAGGATGGAGTTATACTACCGTAGGAGCAATTCCGCATCCCTTTTTAGAAGTTTAAAAGCTCTAAACCAAAAAACTCTTGCTGTGTGTTTGCTCTGGGCGTGTGGAGAGAGAAAAGGACGCCATGCGGTGGAACAGTTTGATTTGGGTACAGTGTGAGAGTGCAGCATCGGGGAGGACTGGTGGGAGTCTGCAGACTAAGTGGGACTGGGTCCTGGGTCAGGACCACGAGTCAATGTCAGTGGACAGGACAGATGAACGAGGAAACAAGGTCACAGAGCTGTAAAAAGGAACGTGTTGAGTAGGGGTGTAATGATTCATTTTAACAACAATTCGATTCGAATTGCAATTCCTGGTTGCCGATTCGATTAATGGACGATCTAGATTAATTTAGAACAATTCGATTTGTTTCGATTCAGTGACTTGAAATCGATTCAGTAACTTTACTGGACAGTGCAGGCAAAGTTTCCGAGATCCCTGTTGTTTCTTGTAAGGAAATCAGGTTTAAATTAATGATGGATATTATAAACAAGCAAACAACAATTAATGGCAAATGTATTAACCTTTTATTTGAATCAAGTGCCATTTTCAATGTTGGATCGCAGGAATATAAATCGATTAAGTGAATGAATCGTTACACCCCTAGTGTTGAGCGATATGTTCACCAAGCGCAACTATTTGTATTGCCTCCATTGTGGCTCCAACCTAAAAAAACAACACACACCAAAGGGCACTAGCTCGTGTAGCTGCAGCTGGTTTCCTCCTCCATTCGTCTTTATGGAACATCCACTGTCAATGATGTCCAGACAATGTTGGATTAGGAATGTGCTGACTAGGCAAAAAGATAGGTGTGTTAAAGTGTGAGCTCTTTTGCTCTGAAAAGGCTACTTATACGCGTGAACTTCAATTAAATGAACATCTCCACATCAACATAACTGTGACAAGCATGCCGTTTGTTGGCAGTTTTTATCCAATTAGCGCGCTCTCACCTCACTGGCATGAAGCATGAATGGATGTGCACTTACGTCTGCACAGCC